TGTGACGATGTCATCACCTATGTCTCTTGGTCATCAAGGTTACAAATGCCTTGATTTATCTACAGGTAAAATCTATGTTTCAAGGCACGTAATCTTTGATGAAAAGCTCTTTCCTTACACCAAAGAAAACATTTCTCCACCTTCACAACATCATTCAATTCCACTGCCTCATAACATCAATATCTCTTCTTCTCCCAGTTCTAGTGATTTGCAATCTAACCACTATTCTATTAGAAATGTTTCTGTACCATGTTTGTCTCTTCCTACATGTCCAGGTACTGCTATCAATAACCAGGATGCCACAGTTCTACCACACCATACAGACTTGCCCTCGTGTTTGCCACCAAATAGAACATCTTCTCCATCCGTTGTGCCTCCTATCTCCAATCATCATCCGATGACAACCCGATCCAAGAACAATATTCACAAACCTCGCCAGCACTCTGATGAATTTATCCGACATCCTCTATCCCAAGCATTGCTGATCGAAAGTTCCACGGTCAAAGAACCAACCTGCTTTACAGAAGCATCCAAATCACATCATTGGAGAGAAGCCATGAACAAAGAATTCGATGCATTACTTCAAAATGGGACTTGGTCATTGGTTCCAAAATCTCCAAATGCAAATATTGTTGGTTGTCGGTGGGTTTACCGAATCAAAAGGAAAGCTGATGGAACTATAGAGCGTCACAAAGCCCGTCTAGTCGCCAAAGGTTTTCACCAACAAGAAGGTATTGATTTTTTCGAAACTTTCAGTCCGGTTATCAAACATGCTACAATCAGATTGGTTTTCTCAATTGCGGTCACTCATGATTGGCCTATACAACAAATTGATGTGCAAAATGCATTTTTGCATGGTGATCTACACGAGGACGTCTTCATGACACAACCACAAGGTTTTATTCATCCTCAATTTCCAAATCATGTCTGTAAGTTGCATAAATCACTGTATGGTTTGCGGCAAGCCCCAAGAGCTTGGTTTTCTAAACTATCAGTGTTCGAGTTTAGTGATGTAAAAGTTGAAAGCAAAGCTGATACATCATTGTTCATCTTCAAAACAAAAACCACCACTGTTTATGTTTTAATTTATGTCGATGATATATTAATAACTGGATCGAGTTCAACTGTCATCAACCGCGTCATTCACAGCTTGAAGACAAACTTTGCTGTCAAAGAATTGGGGCCTATTAATTACTTTCTTGGTGTTGAAGCTCTCAGGTGTCCTGAAGGTATCTATCTTACACAAAGGAAATACATAGTTGATTTACTCAAAAAGAGTAAAATGGATCAAGCCAAACCATGTTCTAGTCCGATGGCCTCAACTTGCACTCTCACTGCCTCAGATGGAAAACCATGCACTGATGCAAATCTTTACAGAAGCGTGGTTGGAAGTCTGCAATACCTTGCTTTTACAAGACCCGACTTAGCCTTTGCAGTACACAAAGTTAGCAAGTTCATGCATAATCCTCTTGACACACACTGGCTAGCTGTCAAGCGAATACTTCGCTATCTTAAACACACTGTTTCAACAGGCTTGTTAATCTCAAAAGCTGCAAATCTTGATCTTCACGCCTTTTCCGACTCGGACTGGGTAGCAGACCGCGATGACAGAAGATCCGTAGGAGCTCATTGTATTTTTCAAGGACCAAACTTGATCTCATGGAGATGTAAGCAACAGCCAACGGTGGCACGCAGCAGCACTGAGGCTGAATACAAAGCTTTAGCAAACACTGCAGCTGAGCTAATGTGGCTAAAATCAATTTTACATGAGCTGGGCATTCCACTTCGGCAACCTCCTACTCTTTGGTGCGACAACATTGGTGCGACATATCTTACATCTAATCCGGTATTCCATGCCAGAACAAAACACATCGAGATCGACTTCCATTTTGTTCGAGACCAAGTTAATCAGAAGCATTTAAAAGTTCAATTCATTTCAAGCCATGACCAGCTCGCAGATGCACTCACAAAGCCCCTATCACCCAAGAAATTTACACATGCCAAGAACAATCTGAATGTCCGTGATCTCCCCTTCAGATTGAGGGGGCGTGTAGAAGATCAAGTGATTTCATCTGCAATCACTGCTGAAAAGCCGGAGAATAATTCCAATGAAGATCCTGCTGAAGACCCGAAAATTAAGTCTGTCAATTAAGCAATTANAAGATCAAGTGATTTCATCTGAAATTACTGCTGAAAATCAGGAGAATAATTCCAGTGAAGTTCCTGCTAAAGACCAGAAAATCAAATCTGTCAATTAAGCAATTATACCACGAGATTGATGCTGATATTTAGAGATAATTGTATAGCTGTACATACTTAAATTATGTTCACGTATTGCAAATATTTTAGGAAACCTGTTACAATTACTAGTATATATACTGCTGCAACTTCTCTGTAATTGTATCAAGAAGAATTCATTCAAATATTCTCTATTGTGTATTCTTTTATAAGGATTATACGTGTAAATTACACAATAAGAAAATCCATTAGTCTATAAAATAATTTTTTTTCTGAAGAAAGTGAAAGGCCAACTCCTAAGGTTAAAAAATAAAATAAAATGCAATGCATGTTACTTCTAATTATATGGACAGGCAAATGCCAAGTGTATAGCAAATCTAACGTCATGTGGGGCTTCTCTAGAAAAAAATTGATTCTCACTAATTCAGATTTTAAGTTAATTAATTAAAAGTCAAAGTCTAAGAATTTATTTTTAAATGCATTTGATTAGCAGAGAGATGAATAATAATTACTAAAGCAATTATTTACACTAAATTATGATTTTGTGAATAATATTATGCGAAAACCGGTGTGCATCTCACATGGTTTGCTTAGTGAACAAGTAGTACATTTTAGTTTTCTCGATGAATTCTTCTCATACATTGTAGCATCAACGTATTAGAATATATTTCCTAAATAAAACTGGTAAGAGTTCTCGCGATTGGTGGGTTGGAATATTGAAATTTTATATAGGAAAAAGTTTTCGGTTACACTACAGAATAGTGTTCTTTGCTTTGTGTAATGACGTTGTGGCCTTTGTAATATATCTCGCGATGGCTGGATTTTCGCCCAAAAGCCAAAACTCGGGCTCGGGTGAAAACATCGGGAACGACGTAGAAAGGCCTGATCTTGCCAATCAGGTAAAGATCAAAAAGAAAGAAGAGAATAAAAGGAGAAGAATTCTTAGTTTAATAAGTTTTTACGAGTCATGTTTAACCTTTTATGCTATCAATAGTCCTTTGGACTCGAAAAGTAATAGCAATGGCTAACCCAATCGCAGATTTCGCAGCTATTACGGTTGGAACCAATGAAACAAGTGATTAACCCATCATATCATCCGAAATAACGAAAAAATAAGACTCGAAGGGATAAAATTTGAAATGATCAATGCACCATGAAGATTTTGTCGAGTTATACTTAGTCCAATATATAAAAGCAAAAATCATACTGGATGAATAGATGACAATTTGCATGCCCTACAAAACTTAGCCCCCGGTGAGTGAGACCGAGACCTCACATTCACTGTAGATTTCGAAGTAAGTAACTGATCTGCATGAACCCTAAGTTTGAAATCAACGGTCCAATTATGTCAGGTTTCTCAGAATTTTGTGTAGTTCAAGAAATATATACAAATTGAGGGGTTGGAAGTTGGAAATTAAGA